GCAGTTGGAGTATTTTTTATTAGTAACACCATTTTTGGTAGTTGGACCATTTTATGTAGTTAGAACATTTTCAATTGTAAGATAAAATGTCCGATTATGGCCAACTGACCGATTATACGGTTCGATTACAACTCTACAAAACAATAAACGAATAATAAAGCAGTTAGTGCACCAATCACATTTGAGGAATTTGTAATCGTTATTATTAAAATGATTAAACTGTTTGATTGGTCCAACCGGTTACAATGGTCTAACTAGAGAAATTGGTCCATCTAGTTGAATGATCCATTTGTTTAAAATGGTCCAACCAGTTAAAATGGTCTGCCTTTAAAAATGGTCCAACCGCTTAAAATGGTCAAATTAGGTAAAACCACTCAACATGATAAATTGTGACGATAGGTTTTTCGCACTAAATGGAATTTGCGGGGAACGCAACAAAGGGGGGGGGGGGGATAACTCAGTAAAGATCACTTGGTAGCGGGAACGGAAACTCGTCACAGTTTCCTGGCACATAGACACCTACTTCAAGCGAACTTGCTACGGACGTCAAGGATAAGACTGTGTTTGGTTCCACAGTAACTTTATTTTAGTTCGTATCGAGAACCGACATGACCTCTAGCATACTCAGCTTAGTAATCGCCACGCAATCGTCGATTTAATCGCTACACAGTCGTCTATGTAATCTAAAAAGCTTTACAAGGTCTATCCTTAAGTGCTATCGAGCGCGTGATTCTATTGTTCTATAAATTTACAATATTTGAATAGTATCACAAAAGAAGCGGAAAATATCTCTTTGAAGTTATCGACCCTAACTAAGAAAACGGAGATTGGACTCACAGCTTTAAAATTGCAAACAGATATCTTAGCAAGTAAAAGTGAGAAGTCAATTTAAATTTCTGCTTGTCTATGCGATGTTGGTGTTAAATTTGAACAAGTGGCAACGAGAAAAGTTATGGCATGAAAAGAACTAATTTACGGACGTATGTTCCGCTGGCAACTTCCTGGGAAGTAATTAACCAGAAAAGGTCGCTACAAGGAATGTTTACTCAACAATGTCCGCTCAGAATAAGATCACATATGAACCGATGTCCGGGTGCACAAAGACGGCGAAAACAAAGCGATATGAACAAGTTGATAGTTAAAAGAATTTACTGTCAGCTTTTATCTTTTTCAAAAACATTACAATATAAAAAACTAGAGTGAATTGAGAACGGCTGAAATATTGAAAAAGTAACAAATGTGCTCCAAACAAACACACCGAAAATCACTAAATTTTTCAGTGACAAAATGCTCCACATTTTTAAATGGTTCAACCCATTAAAATTGTCTACCTAGAAAAAAATAGTCCATCCACTTTACCTGGTCTAAGTAGATAAAAAAGATCCAACCCCATTACATTGTCCAATTGGATAAGGTGGGGTAACTAGATAACATAGTCCAACTGATTAAAATTCCCCAAACTTACTGGATAAAATAATGGTCTAAAACGGTCTTACTTGCTAAAATGGTTATGTTCTAACTACATAAAATTGTTTAACTGGTAAAAATGGTCAAACTAGAGAAAATGGTCCAATTGGTTAAAATGATCAAACCGCTTAAAGTGATCAAACTAAAAGACAAACAAACAAACAAACAAAGCAAAACAATCAATTAAAATAGTCTAGCTCCAGAAATTAGTTCAACTGGTTGAACAATCCAGCTGCTTTTAAGCAAAAACTGGCTAAGCCTACTAAATTGCTTCAACAAGTGAAAATGGTTTGACTAAAGAAAATAGTGCAACTGGTTACAATGATCCAACCGGTTAAAATGGTTAATTAGAGACAAAATGGTTCAACTGGTTAAACGATACCACTCGCTGAAATGTTCCAACTGCTTCAAATGGTCTCAGTAGATAAACCGGTCCACCTTTTAAAATAGCAAGAGTGGTTAAAAAAAGATCCACCTGTGTAAAAGGGTCAATCTGTTTTAAATGGAGCGATGGATAAAATGGTCTACCTAGATAAAATGGTGAAACTGCTCAAAATGATTTAACTGGGTAAGATGGTCCAACTTGATGAAAATATCCAATCGGTTAAAGTGGGGGTAACTGGATAAAATGGTCCGGCTGCTTAAAATGGTCTAACCAAATAAAATGATCCAACTGGTTAAATGGCCTAACTGGATAAAAATGATCCAACTGGTAAAAATAGCCCACCTAGATTCACTTTGTAAATGGTTGAAATAACCTTATGGATTAAATTTGTATAACTAAAAAAATGGCCCAAGTGGTTAAAGTGACGCAACCGCTTAAAATGATCTGACTGGTTTTTATGGTCCAACCGAATAAAATGGTCTCGCTAGATAAACTGGTCCAACTAGTAGAAATGGTGTAAACAGATTAAAATGGTCCAACTGGTTAAAATGGTAGAATCATTTAAAATAATATTAATAAACTATATGGTCCAACTCCTTCAAATGGTACAACGGGTTACGTTGGTCAAACTGGTTAAAACTATCCGACCAGACACTATGAGTTAGTTTGTAGAAATTATCCAACAAGTTTTCATCAATCGTATCTGATTGAACGATCAAACTTGAACTGAGATAATAGTCCTACTTCATGCAGCTTCACTCGAGAATCAACGGACGAAATTGCTCAAAAATCGTCTTGTAAACCAAAATCGGTCGTGGACTCGGATCAAATTGGATGAATAAATCGTCCTGGAAAAAAACAGGACAATTGAAGGACATAAACCTCTATTGAGATAAGGTTAGACTCGGAAATAAGTTAAAGAATATCAGTGGTAACCGCTCTTGTCTGTTGGTGAGATGTTATTCTACTCTGTCAATTGCAAAATAGCATTTTGCCCATAAATTGTAAATTATATCCCTGTAGGAAATAACTTTTCTGTAATGTTTTCTGTTTTCACTTTTGTCTTAACTATTTTTTTCACTGCGTAAAAGTGGTGAGCTCATGTCGGTGTGCCTCTGATCTCTAGCTGATACTAACCGATATTACCGGTTTCCACTTCTTCACTTGCATTCTTAAGCATCACAGAAAGTAGGTGATTCCTTAGCTTTTCGATCGAAGTGAGCTCTCTTAGTTGGCACTTAATCTGCATAGCAGTCTCCTTGATATCGGATCACTCTTGTTAGTCTATTTCCCTTCCTTCGTCAATTTACACAGAATGATGCTTACAGGACTGCAAATGATCACGTTGAAAAGCCGGAAAGGACCGGAATGGCCTGTATTTCTTTTTACTAAAAAAGTGAATGAATACAGAAGTTAGAGAAACCAAAAAACAAACAATAAAAATGAACAGCTTGTATTTCCAACAGGGAAAGCTTGCAGTGTAAAGTATGAACGTTTAGAACATGGGTGTGAGTTACAACCCATACATTGTTGAGAAGGGAGAGAAGAAATGCAGAATTGTAGATCCTGAGAAAGAAGTTGCCTAAGCCTCTTTGTCGAGGTTTATTAGCAGCTTGATTTTTTATTCTTGTCCTGACGCTTATTTCATGTAAGAACTACCGCAACAGCGGGAACCACGCACATTTTCTGCCACAGCGAACCACACATTCCACTATACACCAACTTGCCATTTCAGTTTATGAAACGTTAGGATTATTTGTAATACGGGATCATTCACAGTTCAATATATAGTTTATTTCTAGTCCAGGGTCATTCGCAGAGCTGTTCTTTTAACACTAATCTAACAAGGTCACTTTCTAAATCACCACTTAAGGTATCAGAAGAAAAAAATTATCTTTTTTTCAATTTCGTAAAAAATTGATATCTAATAATAAAAAAGAAAGATCTATCAACTTCTGAAAATGTTATTTTGGTATCTTTTTTACTTCAGGAGATATAAAGCAAAAAGTAATTTGAAAGTAGAACGGAAGGCGCGGGATAGATGACACTTCATGTAACCTTATTCTGGTCACCTAATGAACGTTTTTCACTTTTGATTTACAATGCAAACCGCAAAGTTTTGAACAGTTCCGAAATAGTTCATTCGCTATCAAGTCTACTTACATCAGTTCTTTCCGAAGGCTAGAGAGATTGTCCTCGTATTTCAAATGTTGTTTTCAAGCTGTTATCATGTCCGAAAGCGATAAGTCCCTCTCGCCACTCCGGAAAAAGGAAAATTTATTCGCAGTTTGCATTGGAAAAGAAATATTGCTCACTAGTGTCAAGAGATTTAGTTGCCAGACTCTATTTCTATCGAAGTTGCCGTAGGCAATAGTTCGATAAAAATATCGCCGACAGTCCATCATCTTTCACGTAGCATTGCACTTCGTGCATCGATCGTCGAGGTGCGTTATGTTTCCAGTGTAGCTCTCCTTCCTCTGCCTCACCTCTTTCCTCCTCTTTTTGCTAGGTGAAGCACCTTCCATGTCGCTTAACCTTCTCGACCTGACTCCTTACAAAATGGATCAAAATGTGTTCGCTCTTTGCCTTTTAGCACGCATCATCGTCGACAAGCAACGCAGTGTCAAACGGCTTGCTCCAATATGATTGGGCCTTCACGAGCGTGAAGAGGAAATGCGTTTGTGTACGATAGCACCGACGGTCCTAAAAAGTCCAAGTCGCTTTTTCTGGTTAAGTGTTTTGGCTTGAGTTCTGATCTGAGTTTATTCTCTGCTGATATTCCGTCGTGAGATAACGTCGGAAGTATAATGTACCCCAAAAGCGTGTCCCGGATTTTCGATTTTTTCTTTCTTTCTTAAGATATAGCGTCTATAATGAAAACTTTGCTCAAAAGCGTTACTTTGAAGGTAAAAAATGATAAGAAAATTAACGGAGCGTTAGAATGTAAATTCCAGACACGCCTTTTTTTTATTCAGATCACGTTTTAATAAAGAAGAAACGTTTTGATTGGAATGCGTCGTCAAAAAAAACTTATCTTGTAGAACGTCTCAGCTAGAAAGAATAAGCTTCCATTCTGTTCGATGGTGAAAATTATAAAAATAAATTATATATCCTAAACCAGTGTTAATTAAGCTATCAAAAAATGTATACTCGTATAGGGTAAGGCACATAATTTTCGCGCTATCTCAGATTGAACGAAAACGCTTATTTTCCTTCTGTGATACCTTAATTCTCACACATTTTGAAAAAAAGGAACTCTGGTACACATCCAGCAGTGATTTTTTTATTAAGTGTACAAAATGCATTTCAATGTACATGCCAAAAAACGATCAAAATTCATGATAAAATCATGCAACTATAAACACGAGGTTGACAAGTAATACAAGCAATTGGTTTTGTGTTTTCCGAATACCTACTTAACTTAATCAAGAAGAAGTATTCAAAAGCTAGGAACGTATTTGAGCTGCACCTATAATGACAAATGCCACTCCTCAGACGTAATAAACTTTTTTTTAAGTTTGCAGAAATTTAACTTAGCTTTTCACTAAGAAAATATGACATCCCCGGCGAAGAAGCTAAAACATTGAAAATAACAAGTCAAATGAAATAAAATCAATCACCGAGAGAAGACATGACAGTAAGGTTGTAAGTCACAATATGCAGTTCTTATAACACTAAGACTCATGTTCACGCAGATGGAAAACTAAAAGAATTGGATTTTTGTTAATGCCATTCAGAAGCTAAGTAATACAAACATGTTCCAAGTGTAGTAAATAGCAAATACTTCTGCATTTTTCCGTTGGATCTGTTCCTCGAGATTCGGAGAAAAATAAGCTTACTTATGGGGAACTTTTTCCTTCCCATTTACAGTAAACTTTCCCCCTTGACACCATATACATGTAGTATCACTAGATGCCACTTATATCTACCAATGAGACACTTTCTTTTTTCTCAACTGATCAAAGCATCTGAGGAATCCAGTCAACATGATTCAAAGCTAACAAATAATGGAAAGTGTGGTTATTTCATCCTTTTAACAACTCCTTTTTTCAACATGTACCACAATAGAATCCCAGTAACTCTAACTCAGCAAGGGAGTTCTCTTATTATAATAACGTACATGTACATAACAATACCTTTCTAAGGAAATAGTGTAGAGACAAACCTTTCTGTATTTCTTGTATCCAAAATTTAAAAATGTATATTCTACGCTATTATCTACATAAGGGGGTTTGAGCGATTTTCATATTACTATTTACAAGTAAAATTCAAGCAGGGGCCGTGAAACTATCCACATATGAAGCTAATATTCCAAGGTCACTTCACACTCTGCGGGATTTAACAGGGTTTTCAGGATTAAATCGTCCAGAGTACGCCATGTTATGATAACCACCACTAGTGCGATACATGGACTTGGGAGTAGGGGCAACGGCAGTGAGTAGATCAGCACTCAGATCTTCTATCAGCTGATTCTCGCCTCTGTTAAAAGAAAAATCCAGCAAATTATTGCAGCTACACTCTTGGTTATGTTATATTGAAACATTGTGTATATACTTAATTCTTAGATCTAGTTTGATATTATAGTTAATACAAATTTCTATAGTTAAGTCAAGTACATTTATAATTAAATGATGGCATGAATAATTAAGAGTCACTTTCACCAGCAACTGTATTAAGATCTGTCTTTATAAAGATAAGTCAAATTTCATCAAAGCAATAACTATGACTGGCAACTGCTCACAGCCTGACAAAAAAGTTTTCTCAACTACCCCTTTTCATTCTCGTAAACTATGTTTGCAATTTTTTTTTCATTTTGTTAAATTGAAGGAAGATGGAAGTGGCAAAATGCATTTAGCAGTTACTGCGCAAAAATAGCAAGAATTTCTATTTCTCATCTTTTAAACCTAATTGGTTAAGTTTTTTATGGAAGTGTTTGTACAAAAGAGCTAAGATCCATGTGGAATTTCAAGTAGACAAGTTTTTCAGCTAAATACGTGTATGATTGCATAGATTATGAACCAATGATCTTTAATCATTCCTTGTTCAAAATAACTTGACGGTGAACAACATAGTGGACAACGCAGTAACTTAGAAATTTCACAAAGGCTTTGTTGCATATTTCAATAATAATTATAATAAAACAACAATCTAAGAAAAGCGACATTCAGTAGAACAGTCTTCCAGATGTACACACCGAACAGTTTTACTCTCAGTTGTACCGTTGAACACCAGGAATGGACAAATTGCATTATAATTAAGCACTTATATGACAATGCTTGCCTACTAGGGCAAGGAATCTGTGTGCGATATTGGTGCTGACGTTTCTGTTGAATGGGGGGTTGTACCAGAGTATTTTGTTCTGTTGTCTGTTTTTTCGTTTGTTAGTCGTGGGTGGTTCGTAGTGTAGAGTGTACCGGTATCCGCATTCGTCGGCTGCTTTTGGTATGGTGGTATGGTATGGGCCCTAGAAGACAAGCACTTTCCGAAAGACCACAGTCTTAGAAAAATCTTTAATCGTAACAAAATCAAGATCAGTTACAGCTGCATGAATGGCACGAAACAGATCGTCGACAAAGACAACAAACGTATTCTATATTCATCCAAACACATCAATGACACCGCCGATAACACCAACACAAAAGACACCAAAACTTGCAACTGCCGATAGAAGAACACACACTGCCTCAAATCATCTCTTATCTACCAAGCCACCGTCACACGTAAGGACAACAGTACCAATGAAACATACATTGGACTTACAGAAAACGACTTCAAGACTAGATACAGAAACCACACCGCATCATTCCGACACACAAAACACAGAAACTCTACCGAACTCAGCAAACATATCTGGATTCTTAAAGAAAATAACATAAACCACTTTATTTCAAAGCGTATCCTTTCATCAAGATCACCCAACAACAGCGCAAACAAAAGATGCAACCTCTGCTTCATAGAAAAATTACTCATCATCCGCCGACCCGAATTATCATCACTCAATAAACGTGATGAACTCGTGTCCTCATGCCGCAACAGAAACAAAGCGTTACTGCGTAACAATTGAACTAAGCATCTAAATTAAGCGACACGCCTGTTATGCAAATTTGTAAAGTACATATGCGATGGTATGAATATTCTTAACAATAAAATCCCCTGATGAGTGAGCAATCACGAAACAGGCTTGTAGGGATGAAAGTATAGTCTCTCTGTTTTTTTTCCCCTATCGCAGCATATATCTCGCTCTACACCTACGTATCGAGCACTGTAAAACGGAAAAAATATATATATATATATTTTTCTTTGTTTTGAAATTGTCATGATTGGCTTAAGATTTCAGTTTCTAACAACTTCTTATACATAAAGTACCAGGTATTTTGAGCATAAACAAGGAAGCATACTCCGCTGTCATTGTTCACATTCTACAAAATATGTTCATTTTATGATTCCAAGTTGCCTGGACGAAATTATGAAGTTCTGCCTTATTGTTTAACTTGGCTTTTGTTTTGTAACCTTGCTGACATGGACATGGTATAATATTCCACAGTTAGAACACTTTTTAATGTTGCAGCTTTGAGTTTACAAGCTACAGATTTTCTTTCAAAATGGCTCAACAGAATGGGGAAATGGTAGTTTGGGTGATGAATGACCCCTAAAACAAATGTACGTTAAAAAAATTCAATATTGAAGAATTTCTGGTCATTATTTAGATGGCACCATGCAAAGGCCGGTGCAAAACAATGTAAGTATGCACAGTGACTCTCAAACAATAAGATATTGTTACTTTGATGTGAATTATGTATGCATCATTTATCACCCTTTTGATGAGAAAACAAAAGATATATAGATATAAATGTATATCTTTAATATAAATTTTCAAATTGCAAAGTTTTTTAAAACAGATATATATATATATATATATATATATGTATATATATATATATATATATATATATATATATATATATATATATATATATATATATATATATATATATATATATATATATATATATATATATATGTATACATGCATTTAACAAACAAACCAATTAGAAAAGATTACCAAACACTTACTTGGATGAATACTTTTTGCCTGGTGAAGGAATTGCTCTTCTGCACTTCACGCAAACCACAACAGCAGCTGCAATAAGGCCTAGGACAGCACATACAGATGATACAGTTACAGCAATATTTCCTGAACTATGTGTGTCTTCATCTTCCTCTGGAGCACTGCTATCCTGAACAGAGCCCCCATCAGTGACATTGATGGCACCACATGATGACACATCACTAAGAACCCTCACTGCATATGAGTTGTAGCCTGGAAAAATAAAAGTTACTAACAGTTTCCAAAAAAGTAAAAGTGAACAATTTTGTTACATTTTCAACAAAGTTGAAAGTTGAAGTAAAAGATGTGTCTGTCAATGTTGGTTACAGTGTTGTGATGCTTCAAATTTAGAGACTCTAATAACTATAAATTATGAAGTCTAGGATATGATCTTCAGTTGACAGGTTTACTCTACAATTAAAGATTACCTTTCACAAACATGTTAACATTCATCATTTACCATTATCAGGACAAATGCAGCCATCCAAAGTAGGAAAGTAAATTGAACTTGCTTTCATATTGTTGGTGCAGTACTACAAAAGTACTACAAAGAACTACCAGCGTCACAAAAATCAACTTACCCAAGTCTATGACATTCTTGCTCCAGTTAAGAAGAATGTAAAACTGACAAATCAGTTGATGAACTGAATGTTCTTCAACTGGCTTTATTTCCATACTAAGTTCAGCACTGATGCTGTCTCTACACTGGAGCAGTACACTCTCATTCACTATATTCCCTATGTCAAAACTGCAATTGCATGATTTTGCCATGTAGGAAGCTATACCCTGGTTAATGTGTATCATATCCTGGGAGTCCTGGTGAGTAACAAACAAACAAAAAATTGTAAATATTATGGTAATAATTCTTTATACTTAATACATGATGATAAATGACAAACAAAAACTTATTCCCCTCCTTTATTCAAATTTGTTAGTTAAAGTAAAATATCCTAGACAATTAAAGAGACTTGAAGAGCAAAAGATATTCAAACTATCCCAATTGAGGCTTTCTTGTACTTGTAACTTTTTGTGGCTACCTCTTCCTGTAGGAGGCAAAGCCACTTATGTCATCAAGTGGGTGCATGATTGCATGAGTGAGTGAGTGAGTGAGAGAGTGAGTGCATGAGTGAGAGAGTGAGTGCATGAGTGAGTGAGTGAGTGTTACAATAGAATTCAGAGTATCTCAGTAGTTTGACATTAGAGCTAAAACAGTAAATACTTCATTTACTCTCCTACAAGTTATGCCCAAAAAAGCATGGGATAAGGTATTTTTAATGCTCTCAACCAGCTGTTGTATTCTTGTGAGAAACGTGTGGGATCTGATACGGCAATCTTCATGTCCAGGTCCTGATGTTGAAGTCTTGTGCCCACACAAAAAGGGTAGGCTCTGGTGTGGTATATTTTAATGCTACCAACATGATGTTATAGTCTCTCACGAAAAGTGTGTGGTCAGGTATGGTATTTTAATGCTTGCAAACTCAAGAAAAGCGAGGAGTCTGATATGGTATCTACAATGTTTTGACCCAGATGTTGTGGTCTCACATGAAAAGTGCAAAGTGTGATGGGTAATTTTAAATTTTTGGGAACTGTTGTTGGAGTCTCAAACCCACATGAAAACCATGGGGTCTGATATGGTATTTTTTAATGCTCATGGCCTGCTGAAAAGTGTGGGGTCTGATATGCTATTTTATTATTTAGGCCAAGATGTTGTGCATCGTCTCATGTGTCTCATTAAAGTTTTGGACCTGATTTTGTAGTCTGAAACCCGCATTTGGGGTCTGATATGGTATACTTAATGTTCATGACCTGATGTTGCAGTATCACAATAGATGTGATCTGCAAATCATGAAAGCTTTGAGGAAATTTTTTCCTTTGAAAAGAAAGCATTTTACCATTTAATTGGCAACTTATGGCAAAAAGAGCCACTAAATTTGCAAAGCAAGCAAGCTGCTAAATGCAATACCTTGTGTTATTATCTATACAGAACGATCAAACAGATGAATGGTGGATCAGCAGAATGGCAGAATATCTAAGACAAGGAACTACTGAATATCCTAAAACACCAAATGCTTTTTTGTATGAAACAAAAGTCTCAAAAAATGGAATTTCAATAAAATAAGAAACTATTTATAATTAACAGGTGAAATTAAAAGAAACATATGTAATTATTGTTGGAGCCCAAAGGATAGGGGAACTGTGAGGCTTTCAAGGTAGCCCCTCTAAATTATTATCATATTACTATTGTTATCATTATTATTAATATTATTACTTGTTACCACTTAATTATTGGTTGAATGTCAATTACATAATATATTCTTGAATCATCTTTCTCTTATGGAACAGGGTACTCATACTTTGGTCTCACTTCAAGAGATAGCTCCAAAAGCTTCCAAAAAGTCACAGAATCACTTACTTTCAGGACACAGTATCTCACTCAGTTACTTGTTACAATGTTACTCAAGTCAAGGCCATTACAGCCTCTTCTTTTTATCCCACTCTAACTTTAGACCATAAACACTATATAAGTTAAACATAACAGCTTGCTACATGACTGCAAGTCCCAATTTGAAGTTCTGCTGGCTTTAAATGCAAAAAGTTTTTCACCATCTAATTTTGATTATCATACCAGCCTTAAAACCTTTTGATGAACAAGTAGTTTAGTGTTAAACTTGCCACCATAAAGAGTTTGGAGGCTGATGTTTCAAGCATTAGCCCTTCGTCAGAGCAATTGGAAGAATTATGGGTTGTGTGCAGGTTGATATGCAGGAAATGGAGCTACACTATTGGCGGGAGTATGGTGATGCATTGTTACTAAATTACCTGTTATACTTTCCCACTGACACAGCACCACAGTTTCTTTAGAAACTTACCCCTTTCATTCCTTTGATGAACTGGTTGGTAGAGGTGACAAATTAATGAAAACCTTAACTACATTACATACAAGTGACACACAAATTTCAGACCAAATGTTTTTGTCACATTGATAACAAATGTTTGTTATGTAGTACCTCTAGAAGTTTGCAGTCTTCTGTCATTAGCTTGAGAGAAAACTGTCGCTCAAAATGTTTGACTGGTGTTGCTTTTGTAGACCCTGTAAATGTGCAGATACCAATTCAATCAAAACACTTCAGAAACACTTCATACTGCAATTCACAGTAACAAAGAAAACTGAAAATAAAAAGTTCAACCAAACTTTACCTTCACATTTTTTTCCAGAAAACCCATCAGGGCAGATACACTCAAAACCATTCACTTCATCTCTGCATATGCCACCATTCTTACATGGATGAGAAAGGCAGTCATTAATATTAACTGCACAGTTGTAACCTGTAAAACCTGCTTTACAAGAGCACTTGACACTGTGACCTTTGTCTTGACAAGATATAGAATTGATGCACATCATGGGCTCCTGACAGAGGTCTATATCAATTTGGCAGTGATCTCCACTGAACCCCATACCACAATCACATCTGTAACCACCAACTTCATCGATACAACTTCCTCCATTCTGGCAAGGATTGGAAAGACATTCCTTAAGGTTGTAGTCGCATTTGATCCCTGCATATCCAGGTGAGCAATGGCATTTGAAGCCATTTACTTGATCAATACATGTACCATGAGCACAAGGAGAATGTAAACATTCATCTATATCAACTTCACAGTGAGAGCCTAGGAGAAAATAAGAAACACATTACCCTTCCCTGCAATGTCACAGACAGAGATTTCTCATGTGTCATAATTTGCAAGCCATTCCATTTCAAGTTCTTTACAATAATTCTTACTCCCACAGGCAAGAAAACAAAACACCCTCTATGGCTGTTTTGTCCAATCCATGTCACATTCATCTCAGCTACATTTTATTATGACCTCTTGCTCTGCATCAAGTTATACTGTTATCCAGTCCTTTTACAAAAAAATTACAATAAAACCTCAGTTTGAACAGTGAACTTAACCATCAAATCAAAAAGCAGACTTCAGTCTCTATTTTAAATGCTCAGCACATATCAAGTCCAAACCTCTAAGCTGTTGTTGATTTTGTTTGCCTGGGCACATACAAAGTGTCTGCAGCATTTATAGTGATAATCCAGAAAAACTTTTAAAAGCCCAGAGAGGTACATGTTAAAAAATATATGTACATTATTCTGTTCTGTTATGATCCATCAAATATTTTTGATCAAGCACAATGGCTCAAAACTCAGCACATGACTGAATTTCCCCCAACTAAAACTGGGTGATAGCCAAGAATTTCACCCAAGTGATATTCCCCAACTTTCACACCCTACCTCTGCTACATTACTTCCTTGTTTTAAATTTAATTGGAGATGAGAGAGGGTTTTGTGGTCTTTACAGAAGAGGGGAAATCTTTTTTTGTTCATTCAGTTGCATAAGAGTACACTCAAAAGTAAACATCCCACACAGCATAGAGTAAGCTGTTTGTGAACATTTTTTCATGCACTTTGAAAAAAAATTTGAAGGATATTAAACACAATAGCCTCTATTAGGCACATTATCTGTTCCAAGATGCAAACAGTTTTCTGAGAGCATTAAAGGTACAAGTTTAAAATATATACTCATTACTAAAATAATTTATCGTTTGAGTATTTGAAAGCCAGGTTTGTTCATTTCCATAATTCATCTCTAATAGCATTGTCCATTGAGAATGTCCAAATAAAGTTTTTGTGTTAGTGGTTCACCAGGATTTGCTAAACAGTGGCTTTAAGTAAAGCTGTCTGCTTACAAGATTGCCTGTTGCAGTAGTACCCTAGAGTAGCACTTTCAATTCTGTTTGCTGAAAACTTTAGCCTAGATATCTAAAAGCAATGTACCCCCAAATTTATACAAAAAGGTCACCAGTTATCTAAGAGCCAATCAAAAAGAAAAATATTTTTTGCTCTTGAAGAGACCTGTGACCCATCTTTCTTTTGCACAATCTTACAACATTTAGTTCTTCTTTCTCTGTGATAAACCATAAATTAAAGTATTTTATTTCCAAAAAATAACCTAAAAAAAAATTTAAAGCCCTCGCCCTTACCTGTGACAGGCTTTTAGTTATTGGGATGAGTGAAAGATTGTGCTTGCAAGAGATTGTGGGACTGAGGAAAGAAAAATGTTGGGAGGAAGTAAACTTGTTCAAATTTTCAGTGAAACATATAAGAGTTCTCATTTCTCCCTCAATTTACTCCAGGCCTGTAGATTATTTAAGACAAAATGTCACCTTTCTTGAAAAAGGTGGCAGTTGTTTAAAAAAAAAAAAAAGCACTGGTTCCTTATAGAGGGAATCAACATTGAGTTTGGCCTAAAGTGGCTCCTAATACCTTGGCCAAAGGAAACATTTCCCTTTTTCAGAGAAAATAAGATGTCTACCTCAAATACTTAGAGAATATAGTAACATGTTTTTCACTTTGAAAAGGAAATTTGCCTTGAAATCCAGAAAACACTCTATGATATTTAAAGTGTCACTAAGATGTGACAATAAAACTATGTGCTTACAGTTTTACACTCATTGGGTTGAAGAAAATAAAAAAGGACAAGGGTAACTTCATAGTTGCCATTGATCTAGGTCTCTTTTGCCTTAAGCTTTCTTTGATTCCTTTGGCTGCAAGCGCAAATCAAAGTTAGTGCAGATGTACAACAAGATCACTCATGAGTGAAATCATGCTTTAACATCATGGGGAATAACTGCTGAAATGAGACTTATTCTGGTCCAACATCCCAGAATGAACAGAAATGCATTGTTTGTTCAAATCCAAGTACTGCTATGTACAGAAAAACCTTCAAGACATTTATCCAAAAATCTAATAACTATATAAGCTGCTGAGAGAAGTAAAAATCAAGCCTAATTAAGATCAATCTAGAAAAGTTTAGCCTTCACCAGGCCAGGGCAGGTGATTGATGAAAATGTGAGTGTTGATATGAACTGACATATCAACCAATCACAGGATATATTTAAGAGCTGGTGTGTTGGAGGAGGGTTTTTAAAGCAACACTTTTAAGTTGTTGTTTCACAGCCATTTCCCTACCAACCATGACCACCATTTGCTGCCAGTCTACTCCTTCATTTCTCTCCACTGACTGAAAACCAAGAGCAGCCTGCTTTTTCTCATAAGCAAGAATATATACCTTTATATCAAATTAGGTTCACTTTCCATTCAATACCTTCAATTTACATGAGCTGTGGTATTGTCAAAAAGCAACAAAAACAACAGCATTCAACTGGTAATAATTAATACAAATTATAATACCAACATCTCTTTTGTTAATGCAATGAGTTACCTGTTGATGTGAAATATGAGCCATTGAAAAAACATACCCTTACAGCTCATTACCAGTAAACAAGAATGTTGAACTTCACATTTTTTTTGCAAACTTTAAGTCACTATTTGGCTAGAGCCAATGAATGAATTTGTCAGCATAATCTGAGTCAAATTTTGTTTCAGATTAATCCTCTAACAAATGCATCAATTATGCTCTAAGGGATTGCACAAAATGGCTTATTGGCAGGTGTAACTTATGAACTGGGTTTATGGGCCATTTCAAAGACTCCAAACAGATGGAGTTTTTCATGCATTATAAAGGATTATTATTGTGGATTAACAGGTTCTAGCCACAAAGAGACCCAAAGGTTTCATATCAAAAAATGACACTCAGACACGTGTGCAAAAACAAAACCATAAAAAAAATCAAGCAAGCAGGCACTAGAAATAAGTTTTCTATACTATTCTCAGCTATTCAGATAACCCTTCGACTGTCAGTTGCTTATGTATAAGAACCCGTACTTAGAAAGTGGGACATACTACATGTTTAATTATGTACCTGTAAACCCAGAAGGGCACTTGCACTGGAAAGAACCAACCCCATCCACACAGCTGCCACCATTCAAACATGGACTTGAAGCACATTCATCAATATCAACTTCACAGCTCCTACCACTGAAGCCCCGTAGGCACTGACACGTAAAGTTGTTCACCTCTGGAATACAGTTACCACCATTTTGACACGGGGAGGACAGACACTTGTCAATGATTTCAGAACAGTCCCGTCCTTTGTACCCTGCCTTGCAAATACATACATGTGTGTTGCCGTCCTTTGAACTCTCAATGTTTTGACACAGAGCGTTATTTTTGCAAGGTTTCGAGAAACAATAGTCTACTTTTTCGCAAAAGTGTCCTCGAAATCCACCGCAACATTTGCAGCGGAAGTCGGGTAAACTGAAGTTTGTCGAGCATTGGCCTCGGCCAGAGCACATTTCACTAGTGGATGGAGGCCTACAATTGTTTTCTTTCACACTAACATTTAGTCGCAAGCCGAAGTCGCAGCGGAAAGTAGAGTCTATGTTAGCAATAAAATAATGCTTTCCAATATTCAGTATGTCTAAGCCCACAGAAACACTATCCATGGATTTATTTACAAGTGGAATGCCATTGCTCTCGTTACAGGTTAGGAATGCATTAGCTTCGTTTGTAGTAACGACGCGATGCGGTACAAATCCATCGACATAAGCCAAAATTTCCTCATCGGCAGTGAAATTAAGAGTGTCTCCGACTTGAATCTGCAAAGGCTTTAGCTGTACTTCCACAAAAGTATCGTACACGTCTGCTTCCGTATCATTCTCACCACCAAAACACGAATGACTTGTGCTACAGATACTGTCGCCATATCCCCAGATTATCGGTATAATAGCGGAACGATTTCGCCAGCAAGGCTTTTCGTCACATCGTGAAGTGCACTCCATAATGTCTATTTTATGAATCTCACAATGACGGCCATATGTGTCGTCTCGGCATACGCATTTGTATCCGTTGATTTCATCAACACAGAGAGCACCATTCTTGCAAGGTTGAGAAGCGCATTCATCTTCGTCAATATCGCACAATTTTCCTGTAAATCCTGGAGTACAGTAACACTTTGGGGTGCCAGCTGTAAGACTGCAAACACCATTAACGCATAGGTTTACTGGGCAATCAGTAGACCGAAATTCACACGCCGGACCACGAAATCCGACTTGACAACTGCAAGTGAAGTAAGAGCCATTCCTTAGACAAGTTCCAGCATTCCAACAAGGATTCGAAGCGCAAGGATCGTTTAACGCAATTCCTAGATTTGCTTCAGACCATGAAATGTACTTTAAAACAACGAGATGCCAAATACACAGGGCTCTTCCGATCGCATACATTTTCTCATTCGCTATACGATCTCAAGAATCGAGTTTTTGAAAAAAAATTAATAAAGTACAACGCGTGGTTAAACAAAGGATTGTCATGGAAGCAATGGACATTGTCCAATCAAGTTGTCGATGGCTCAATGGATTGACCAATCATGAAAGCTGAATGAGCGGTTAAATTTCTGTGGTTAAGACAGCTGGATTTCGCATGTGTTCTTGGCGTGTGCTGCTGAACTTCTTTGTTGTTGTTGCTGCAGGTAGTGTATTTTTTAACTTCTTTTTTCTTTTCTCTTTTGAAATGTGTTCAATTTTAATACTGACACGTGCTCACTTTGAACGTCCTGCAACGCATAGTTAATAAAGTCCACACGCTGGAAACAACCATTCCAAATCTTTTGAGGCACTAGATCTGAATCCTTTGTTTGTAACATGTTTTTCTAAGTCGCTTGAAGTCCAGTCGTACTGTGTGAACAACCACTCGATATTTCCTCATGTGATTTATTTCTAAGAAGATTCTGGCTGGGGAGAGAGATTTTTTTAACATTGGGAGCTTGACCTCCTTATCGTTTAATAAGACTCCTGAACTGCACTGCACCTTCACCTTACTAACAATCAGTAAGCGCCTAACACCCCCCCCTCACCCCCCCGCCAACAAACACTCGCACGCACCTACCCACGCAAGATCTTCCACGGCCAAGTTTCAATGTTCCCGCCCTCCTACATTTGAAGAGAAAGGCGCGGTTGCCTGAACCTCTTCTCCCCGTCCCTTCCCGTTTAAAACCCGAATCCAAGGGAAAGATTTAGTTTCCTTTAAACAAGATGCTGACAAGAAAAATGCGAAAAATAAAAAATGAATGAATAGGTGTGCGTGCGTGTGTATATTTTAAGGTTAAACTAATCAATAAGAGAGAAGAAGAGAGAAGAGAGTTTTTTATTTCTTTTATAAAATGTATCATGAATTGCGTGCGCTCGTACCGATGACGTAGGTTGCGTGCATTATATCTCAACAGTGCACTCGTGGCCGGCGCGTGCTTTATGGAAATATAAGAACTCGTTCTGACCAATCACGGCGCATACATTTCTTTGAACATTTTATTATTAATTTATATTATAAGCTCAGTTATGCACGCATTCTGATTGGTTCTCACTTATGATCTATTGGAGGACAGATGTATAGATGACGTCATTATTAAAACTGTTTTTAATTCTTTAGTATCTAAAACAAATAGACAACTGTGTTACAGCCTTAGTAAAATCTGTTTTACAACTGGGTAACAACGTCTCCTCTACAAAATATAGTATAAAAGCGAAGCAACAAAGATTAGAAGAAGTACTAATCTGCTCATGGGTATCTCTCTTCTTTAGTGAAGAGGATTGAGTATCTAAAGCTGCCTTCAGAAGACAAAGGGGCACTTCCTCGGACTCATGAGCGAAACCCGATGCATTTTCCACGACTTAAGATGGTCAACTTACTGTAAAGCTAGGAAAAATTTGTAGGAGATAAAATTGCAGTCAAAAATCGGTCGTTGTAGCACTAATTTGCGCCATCGGTGCCCAAAACTAGCATTCATTAAGTTCACAAAAATTACACACTATAGCCATCTAACGTGAAGGACTTCGAGTGAATTACGTTACCCAGAAACCATTGGTGAAGCGTCGACGCCCATACGGATCTGCATTATTCAGACTAGCAATACTCGGCGAGAGTGGGAAGTTCGTCATAGTGCAGTACGTAAATTTTGTGAGACAATTCAGTAAGTATTCGATGAATGTCACAAAATCGTAGTTTCCGAAGCGTTTTAAAGGGCGACTGTTGTGCATTTGAACAGCCTCTATCTAGTGGATTTGTTGGGTTTCAAACTGTCGCTGCCATATCTTCTTATCCTCCTGTGTATGACTATGAACATGAAAGAATACAAAGTCGTCGTTTTGGGTTCAGGTGGTGTTGGAAAAAGTGCACTTACAGTGAAGTTTGTTACGGGACAATTTGTTGAAAAATATGACCCAACTATTGAAGATTTCTATCGAAAGGAGATCGACGTTGACCACAATCCCTCCATCTTGGAAATTTTAGACACTGCTGGCACTGAACAATTCGCTTCAATGCGAGATTTGTACATCAAAAATGGTCAAGGATTCCTTCTAATATATTCTCTTTTAAACCGGCAAACGTTCACTGATTTAAAGCCGATGAGGGATCAGATACTGCGTGTGAAAAATGCAGACAGTGTGCCACTGATACTTGTTGGAAATAAAAGTGACATGTTTGATGAACGAGAAGTATCTGCAAACGAAGCGAAGCTTTTAGCGGAAGAATGGGGCTGTCCACACTTCGAAACCTCTGCGAAGAGCAATACCAATGTTGACGAAGTATTCACTGAGATTGTTAGACGAATGAAAACCACACAGAAAAGTTCTTCGAGTAAACGAGGTTGTTGTGTTGTTCTCTAACGGTGATGGACATGCCGTCCAAGTGGCGGAATCAAGTTTGGTTGAGACGGCATATTCGTCTTTGTCGTGGCAAATGCGTGTGGAGATAAGGAGTGAACCGTATAATTTGCTGATACAGGAAAATAAGAAGAGGAAGCCATAATGTAAGCTTTTTAGAAGTTAGAGTGTCAAATTCTTTTCTCATATATTTTTTAAGTAGATGACATTGAAAAGCATAGTTTCCATACATGGTTATGAATTTTGTCAATACGAATTAGTAGTTGTTTCCGCGATTTTTGTATGTAGGTAGAATGTTTTATCAAAGCCAATTTGGTTCATGTGAACCTGAACCGAGAGAACTAGGTTTAACATCAAATCGAGTCCATTAATTTGGTAGTGTATGAGAGCTTTTTTACAGTGACAAAAAATTCCATCATCTACATATAACATTGCTGTAATGTATGAAGTTTTGAAATAAATTTACACTAGGGAGGTTTTCGTGTGTTGCCTTAATTTCTTTGTACTATTTATTGTAGTATTTGGTGAACTATGTAATTCTTATGCATAATTTGCAATCAGGCGTCAAAAGGTTGATGTTTACACATAAGTTGTGTCTGACTTCAGCATCTTGTCCTAGATGACCTTTGTTTAAAATACTTCACAAATCAGTAGACAATTTTGAGTTAATTTTTTCATTGAGGGTAGTATTAACTTTTTATTTGAAGTTTAAGCCAACCTTGTTTTGTCAACTTATTGGTTTTGTGGCCTCAACATATTTTTCTCCAGAAGTTGGTATCTGTGCTTGACACTCAAACCAAGGAGGTCAAAGTTGCCATGAATAGGAGATGAATACACTCTATTCAATGGGTTAACATACAATATGCATGGAATTTGGGAGTTCTGTATTATTTTTCTGAGCCTTGCAAAATCAAAACAGAAAAATACAAGCATTGTTGTGCAAATTGTGTTATTTTATATAAATGTTGCTGTTGTGCGTGGCATCTATATCTGTCCTGAGGTGTTTTTCAATTTTTCTTGAACAGGTAATGACATCTTTTCAGCATGTTCACCTTTCTCAGTCTCCTAAGTGTAAAGTGTGACATGAACATTTAGGCAATCCAGTGAATATGTTTGCAACTGGTACTGTGCTCTTTAAAGAAATGATAAAAAATGATAACATTTAAAATATTTCACCTTCCCAACATTTTTCATAAAATGAAAACTTAAAAGAGACATTTTTTCTGAACACAGGTTCAGTTTTCTTCAATTAAAAAATATTGACATAGTATTAGTTAAACTCTCTTTAAGCTGGACAACCTTTTAACTCTTACTATCATTGTTGAACTCTTTATGTGTTTATGGTTATCAGAAAGCCCCAAGCCACTATATTATGGTCCATTGGCTACGCTTTCCTTTAGCTATCACAAATCCTGTGTTGTTACAAACAAACCTCTTATTTGTAATTTTTTTTGCTTTAAAATGTTTGTCAAAAAATGTTGAAAAGCATGGAATTTGTTGAAGGTACAGTAGAAGCCCATAACATTGAACCTACCCTGTGAACTTAAACAAGATGTGACTTCCCTTTGGTTTGACCCATTTTTCTAGTCATTTGCTATCAGCTATCTCAAACTCAGTTATCCCAAACTCCCCATGAACTCCAACTAGTTTTACTTTCCCATGGCTGAAGTTTACCTGGATAACTATAACAAAGCTGATTGGCACTTCCAACCTTGAATCATGATTGAAACATTTGTGATAACATTTATGAAAACCAGACAATGAAGAAGGATAGGTTCCTGTTTGGGTCCAGGTCAGGTTTACTGATTATGACTCTGATACTCTCATAGGGTTAAAGAAGCCATCCTAAATTGAAATTCCTAACAAATGGGTATGGATGCCTACCATAATAAAGCAGACCTTTGAGGGAACATCTCAGAAGAGGGAATAATTATGAGGACCAAAGGTGCTTCAAAATGTAACACCCAAACTTTAGACCACATCATCTAACAAAGGGCCTTTCTGCACAACAGACAAAACTAGAATTGTCCCCAAAAAATCAAAGGAATAATTTTGTCATGACAAATTTTTGTTTAGTCTGTTGCATCCACACTAGAAATATAAAGGCCATCAAATTCCATTTGTGCCTGATTGGTTTATAAGACTGGCCAGCATGGTTTGAAGAAGGATTATGCCTCCAATTTCCAGGGTTTATCTTAAGTTTTTTAAAATTTTAGAATCCCTAAGTTTTGCAGGAAAAGACAATTTTTTTTATTTTTTATTAAACTTATTATAGTTCAATTACACACTGGTCGCAGCTCTTATGATGAATGAATGACAAGTTTAGCACTTTTTTTGGTAATCAGTTGATTTCATCCAGTTTGGACCTGGGACAAATTTTGTGGGTGGTGCGTTTGAAGATTTGTCTGCATCAGCCAAAATTTATCAAGTCCAGGCAAACCATCTGCATTTACAAAATGTTGGTGAGTAAACAACTTTGTCACCGGTGTGAAACGGCCCAAAGATTTGCAGTTTGGTGGTCAAAATGTCACGATCAATACACGATTGATTAGCCTGACTCATACATCATGCGACAAATGATTAAATGGTTATTCATCTAGTAAACCACGATGAACAACAACATTTCCAATAACATGAAGACACAAGACATTTAGCTAAGCTTCCCCAACCAAACATTCTTAGAAATAAAAAGCAAATATTACTTGATTGGGCGATAATAAGAACATGATTCCTTAATAACTGTTAACATAATTAATAATATGCAAAAAAAAAAATACTCAGTTCCAATTGGTTGAGATAAATGCAGTTTTCAGGTAATTCAATGCAGAAGAGGGTTAATTTGCGAGCAAAACAGTAGCCGTCGTTAGAAGTAGGATCTTTCGCCACGGCAACATCAATATAGCAGCTAAAAGACAGCTCTAACAACGAAAACATTGTATAAAGCACTGCTTTTTGGTTGTCGGTTTGGAAAAAGTGGTGTTTAGAGGGAGAAATTGTCAAGGAAATTGAAAATTACGAGCCGACCCAGCACTTTGCTTGAGCGATTCTACGCCGAAATTAAAAACAAACATGGTCAAACCTCGAAAACGACGATTCTATTTGATTCAAAGGGATTCGATCACAGAATGAACAATGTTTAGCCGGACTTAGAACTTTTTTGCGCCTTAAAAATGTGAAAATATTATTGTATATTATTGTCTTGATCCTACACGGTTGTTTTGACCGAACGCACGGTTTGAGTAAATTATTTCATTACTTGTTAATTTTTTCAAAGACCACAAATTGCATTCGCTCTACAGGCTCGTGCAATTTTGTTAGTCTTTGGAAAAAATTTACTCATGTTATTTATTCCAAATTGCACTAGAAATCATGTGATACTAAGTGAAATTCGACACCAATCTCAATAACTCAATCCTCCACTAATGCGAACCACTGTATAAGCAAGGACAATCTAAAAGTAGAATCTTTGCCAGTGTCACTCAAAATCTAGTTATGGAAACAACCATCAGGTTCCTGTTGGATGTGTCTAATATATTAATTACTGGGATACCTGTGGTAGCCCAGTCATAAAATGCCTTTGTTTTTCTGTCGTCTTTTTTTTTTCCTCCGCCACAAAATGGAAAAATTGCGCAATAGTACCCAGTGGTCATTGGGCCCTCAACACCATGACAACTAACTGTGATCCAAGGAGGTGTTCACATGCTGACACGCATGTTATTTTGATGATGATTGACGTTGTCATGCATGGACAGGACCGGGTCACATGACAAACCACGAGATTTTTTTTGTCATAAAACTCATTAGTCCGTCGTTTTGTATTTCAACGTGTTTGGATTACGATCCCCTGGAGCATTATGGCGCAAACGCTCAGAATACTTACAGACGCATATACAAGTTGTATTGTTCGCGGCCAGTCCACGCTAAAAGATGTTATTGAGCGGTAATTTTGGAACGGATTGAGTCGCGAACGCTTGAAAGTCATGAAATCCTTGAATGCCTTGTATGCCTTGTATGCCAAGTATGCCAGTGTCTTAGTTGAAAAACGCACACTCGTAGTAAGAAGCAAAATCTGAAATCTGAAAGCAAACTGCATATATCCTATGTAAGTGAGACTGAAGAACAAAACTCTAATGGATGCAAACTGCTTGTGAAGAAAGAGGTAAAGTTTCCGTACAGCCCCATACTATTGCAAAACAAATCCGTTTTCCCAATGGAAATGTATTGTTTTTGTCATTGTTTTCTCTATTCAAGAACTGAATGCATAATGTAGTATGGGGCTGTGCGGAAATTTTACCAAGAAAGACGCCATGTTGGATTCATTTGATGCCAGGGAACGTAGCTACGATAACAGTGCGAGTGGTATTAATTTCACGATCAGAAAGGTGAATCTTATGTTTGTTTTCATTGTAGTTGTATGGATATTCTTTTTTAATAGATACATGATCCAGAATCCTGTGTTTTTTGTGTATAATGTTATTATGTTAAGTATTGTCTTGTCACAGGCGGTTACGGGTTACCTCGCCACCAGGGAGACTCGCCACCAGCGAACTCGCCACCAAGGAACGATCTCGCCACCAACGTACTCGCCACCAAGCGAAGTCTTCTCGCCACCAACCACCAATAAAGGGATAAACTAGAATAAAGTAGTCGAGGAGAGTAGTATGTTCGAACGAGCACAATTCAAATCGGCCGATACGTTTGTGCGCTTGTCTGTATTTAAATTATGACCTTCAGCGACGTGTTAGATGTGTTCCGTTCCTAACTCATTGACATCGAAACGTATCGTGTTTGTCTTTTGCACGTAAGCGAGGAGAAATTGCAAAACTCGATGCGAGGAATAAAAACTTACTTGAGAGAAAATGAAACTTCATGGGAAGAAATAAGTGATGAAATGAAACTCGATAGCAGTTGTATTAAAACTAGATGCGAGAAATTGTCAAGTCGGTGCGAGAAATTGTAAGCGTCGATAGACTGAAGCTTTCCTAAGGCAACTACAGTTGTTTTCCAAGGAGAGTTAACAGTTCGAACCAATCGATTCCTGAGTTTGTTTGCTTATTTGTATGAAAATTTTGACGTCTGTGATGTTATAAGTTCGAACGAATCGACTCACGAGTTTGTTTACTTATCTGTATGCAAATTTCGACGTCTGTGATGTTGTCAAGGGAACTTATTCAATATTCGGTCGAATTATTACCCAGTTTCCCCGCGGCAAAATAACAACAACCTTTATTGAATATTAAATCTAGAAGAGCAGCTCATATGTTGATCATGACTTTTGCAGATGTGGCGGCTCCTAAAAGAGCCATTTTTAGCGACCTGGAAACGTCCTAAAGACGCAACCAGGGCGCGGTGGCTCCTAAAAGAGCCGTTTTTCGATGTTCCAGGTTCTGCTTCAGGTTCTGGTCGCTGGGCCGTTCAGGTAACTGCAGAGTTTGAGAAGGCGGCGGGCAGAAATCTCGTTGCCGTTAAAGTCTTCCCAGTGCTTGAAGATTTTAGATTGAAGCAGCTGGTACTTCTTCCGCTGAATCCTGGACAACTTCCCGTCTGACACTAGCCTTATCTGAATGGAGACAAGTCTGGCCTCCTGGTGTAGCAGCTCCACCAGCAGGTAGAATGGCAAGTGGACTCTGTTGTTGGCTCTACTGTTAAGACCGTGGTGCCACGCCTCTATGTCGTTGTTGGTGCGGATCGGCAGCAAGAAGATAGACCAACAGGATTGAGGCCACATTGTGCTGGTAATCCAGTTCTCCTCCACGTACAAGGCAAGTGCTTCCAGAGTAGTGGTAGTGGCGCAGACTCTGAGCCGCTTAAACATCGGCGTAGTCTCGGCTTCCGGCAGGAAGGGCAGCGCCATGAGTTTTCTAATGTGCTTGTAGGTACGGCTGTCTGTGCGGTAGGCTGGCTCCAATCCCAACTCTTGAACCTTATTGAAAAAAAGGAAAACAAATTTTCAGAGATAAGCCGTTAAGCACTTATTTTTAACTCCGTGTGTTTCTAATTCTATTAGTATAGGTATGCGTTAAGCTTGATTGATATTATTCAGAGAAGAGCCCTTAGAGAAGGACGGTAGGTAGGTATTGGTTTAATTGAAATTATTGAAATAACGAAAATAGATTTTTAGAGATATGCTGTTAAAAAATTACCATTTTTTCTCGTGTGTGCCTATATAAATTCTTCCTTTAGGTATGCGTTACCTTTCTCCACAACGCTTGCGTCCGGTGAAACAGACATCCCTGCAGTGACACGTTGGGCAGCAGCTCTCTAAAGACCGTCCAGAGAGCTTGTTCAAAGTCCAGAGTAATGCTTCTGACTGCTGGAGGCGAAGGAAGTATTCTCAGCACTTCTTGCAACACTGTACGGTAGTCCCGCTTTCTCTTACCAGACATGAGGACAAACAGCAGAGGAACCTGTTTGGCTTGCTCGCCGCTCCTCACAAAGGCGTTGATGGTAAACAGTTGGGTGAAGGGCTGACGACAGAGTTTAAATGTGCCATCAACGTACCAGTTTTTGGCCAGGACAAGCTGCTGCAGTTGCTGGTTTGTTGCGAAGAGCAAGTGTCGCTTGCTGCGGCTACGGACGTCTCCCTTCAAGAACCCGGCAGGAATATTCTCCTCGGAGATGTCAAACGCCAAGTCGGTGGGGTCTTCGGGTCTCAGCTGCTGTCTTAAGCGGTTCGCGGCTCTGGCCATGTTTTCAGGTTTGGGCAGTGACGGGCATGGATGTTCATCTACCCGCTCCTCCATAAGCACCTCATCGACGATAGCCGAAGCTGGCCTAAACAAGTTCTCTCGTGCTATCTGTGATAAAGAATAACATACAAAATATGAGTGTGTAGGAAATTTGCATATTTTACTCCAACCTTTACTCCTGTGGTCACATCAAATATTTTCTAGTGGCTTCTACTATCTATTATCTAAGATAATTACAAAGTAAAGTGTGAAACAAGAAATTTCTTCTGATTGGCGGTTCGTATATACTAGAAAACCCCATGCCGTAATTTATTTGAACGAACTTCAAAAAAAGTTTAAAAAAATATATTAACTGCACCTGTTTCGCGCGAGACTGGATCTGGGTGGAAGCAAGGACACCAAATTCACCGGGGTGGTTGTGGCCATGCATTCCCGCGAAGAATGCACCGTTCCGCTGAATAACGGACGCTTTACACTTGTGGTCTTTTCGGCGTACGGTGCACTGCCAGTCGATGGTTCCGTTTGGTCGTCTTTTGCGGATGTTGAAGGTGTAACCAGTGTTGGTTACCAGCTTCGTGTTCCCTCTTATGGTTCCCTCCAGGACAAGATGGTAAGTCGTCTCGATTGAGTACAGACAAGCGAACAAACTTATCAGCCGAACATCCTACTCTCCTCGACTAATCTCTTTATTGGTGGTTGGTGGCGAGAAGACTTCGCTTGGTGGCGAGATCGTTCCTTGGTGGCAAGTTCGCTGGTGGCGAGTCTGCTTGGTGGCGAGGTAACTGGATACCTCACAGGCGACCCAAGCTCACGCCTCGAGAAAAAGCCGACGATCAATTCAATTCACGCGTTGTGTGTTAAGCTACGAGAGGAACCGTTGAAAATTTGAACACGTCATAAGGAATAGTATAGGGATCGAAATATGGTCGATTTACAACGATAAATATTTCGAAATATGAACATTTTTCTTGTAAAATCAACAAAACCCACTCATACCCTGTGTATCTAGTGTAGTTTCTGGCGATTTCTGCCGTTTTAATCTTGCTTTACCATCACTGTTACCCACATCATCTACTTTTATTACGTTGGTAAAATCTGTACAGAAATCACACCAACCAACTCGCGCGCAAAGTAAGAAGACTATATTGAAGGCTTGAAATTATAGTACGATTGATTTTCATTAAGAAATGGGGCAGGAATTTTCTACAATAGTGCAAATAATCGTGAAGGCTAAACGCAGAAAAGCGATTGCGTGACGCTCGGTAAGCTGTCAGATGACATTTTATTGTTTACCAGACGTAAAAACTCTTCAGATTCTCAGTCTGCATTTTGTACCCAGTCTGCAGTCTAGATTTTGTATCAGGTCTGCAGTCTGCTGTCTGCATTTTGTACTAGCAGGTATCCGTGGTACCAATACAGTTTATTTTTGGTTACATTTATTCGCACAACACACATAATCTACCACAAAATACGTGTGCGAGGTAATTCGACATTTCCGTTCTTTTCCGCGTTAATACTCTTCTTTCCTTTTGTAAGAATGTAGATCACTTACAATGTTTCAAGTAATCCACCCACCCTACAAAAAATAACTCTTGCATGCATAGCATGCCTATGTTTGAAATAGGTGTATGCCCTTGGCCAGAATTGAGCTTACTATTTCAGTATACTAGTCCGACACCTGTAGTATCACTACACTTGATTCCAAGGATCCAGTACCATCCAGGTATCTCAGTAACCCTTCTCACAGGGTCTAGTTTTACAGCTATCAGAGAGTCAACAGCTTATGCTCAAAGTTTTGAAGCTCCTGGGATACATGTAAACATCTTTAGTATGACCCTACTCTTTGACACAAAAAGTGTCACAAATGTAAATGCATTTTCAGTTACTCAAAAGAAGGGCAGCAAATTATTCTTTTCCAAAGGGTGTTTTGGCATAATATTAGTGATTCATTGCTTTTGTTAGAAATAAAATTAAAGTAGCAGTAATATGACATTTGTTTCTGGGGAGGATTTGCACCCAGTACAATTAAAGATGGAGCCTTTTACTTTCTGGAGCCTTTGCTTTCTAGAGCCTTTGCTTTCGGCCATTGGATCTAGAGTAGATGTAGGAGATTCTCCCTCAAATTTGGCTCGGGTGTTACATATACAAGGGGCACAGTTCTGATTATTTCTACTTTTGTCATCATTGTCACAATAAATTGTCTATGCACTTGTGGGCTGATAAAAGTTCAAGGGACACCTCAAAGAAAAATTAACACCACCAGACACATGTTCATGTTTAATGACAGAAAAAGTTGTTAAAATTAAAACAACCAGAACAGAACAGTGTTAGTGTGCAACTAATATAAGCTAAGCAGCAAAATTTGGTAAATAATTACAAAAAACTAATAAAAAAAACTTAGGTATGTTTGTATTCTATCACATTGCAATGGGAAGTTTGGTAAAAGAGTATGTACACACTTAAAGAGTTATTCAAATCTCAACCAAGGAAAAATGTAACATCAAATAACTATCTATAAGAAGAATAGTAAGCCTGGTCCTATAGCTGCAACTTCAGTCACAAAGTATCAGTCTCTGTGAAAGCTTCCTCTGTTCACCCAGGTACAATATTTGCTGACACTTTGATAAAATAAAAATTGGGAATTTTGTTTATCCAGCACTGACAGAGGAACTTAGGGTAATTTATACTACTATTACTAACAAGATTTTTCCAAGGTTTAAGATTAATTTTCTTCTCTCCCATTACTAAATAAAAAGGACACAGCCATGCAAATTTGAGGTAGGCAATGACAATACAAAACCATTGGAAACAGACTACATGTAGGTGAAGGAGGTAATTTATTTAAATATTGAAAGCTTAAAATTAGCAACAAAAACGTTTTTTTCATTTATAAGACCTGCATTTCATTCTCCTGGTGATGCAGCAGATGTTTATTCAAAAATGACTACCAGACTTTTACTGATAAGGCAATGACTTTTTAATGATCCCACTTATTTTTCCCAACCAGTCCCACCTCACAAGACTATACTTAAACAAGGTCAGCATAATGCAAAGTACATATAGGTGGTGTTAAAAACCATAGAACAAACTTTTTGCTGCAACAACATTTGATAAGAATAAACATATTTCACCAACACTCATTTCTGTAGGTTTAACAACATTGTCACAACATAAGATGATGCAAAATTGTGAGGCATCTACCCCTAAGTGGGCTTCTCTGATACCCTTAGACTTCACGAGTGCACTTTTCTACCATAATTCAGAATTATAAACCCAGGCTTCTCATTTTATTAATTCAAGTGGGATGACAAAATTGATTAAACCAGTTCATATTTACTGGAATGCTGGATACTGCTTGCCAAACAACATGACAATCCCACACCAATAAGCTGGAAATAAAGTAAGAAAAGTGTTACGTAATATAATCTATCATATCTTAGAAATTGGTTAAGAATCCAATTTATATTTTACATCAGCCACATCAGTACAATAACCCTTAGGCCATGATACATTGCTACAAAGTAAAAAAGCCTTAAGGCAGGGCATTTTTAATTATGAAACCAAAATATGATTTTTCTTCAACTTTGATACTTTAGGATTGAACTGAAAAACTCTTATTTTCTTGTAGCTTTTAAATATGTACAGGCCTTCCAATAGGTAGAATAACTAAAATTGTAGTGACATTTTTCTATGAGCAAATTGTGCCAAGTTAAGATCAAAGTGATTAATGACTATGTAAAATGATGGATTTTGCATAATGATGAACTTTTAAACAGCTGTGAATATATGAAAGTCATATATTTCAACTGCAGATAAAGACGTGAATATGATAGCCATCTTCACAGTAATGAACACTACTTATGCAGTAGTGAAAAGATACTATGTTATTCACGTCTTTATCCGTTTTTTCACCACTACACAGATTTGTTTGGAACCAACACAGTGACCAGTTCCCAGTTGGCTTGTTAGCTCAGTTGGTAGAACACTGCACCAGTATTGCAGAGGTCATGGGTTCAAATCCCGTACAGGCCTTAATTTTTTTCCAGGCCCTCTTCTCACTACTGCTTAAGTAGTGTTCATTACTGTGAAGATCGCTATCATATTCACGTCTTATCTGCAGTTTACATATATGACTTTCATATATTCACAGCCATTTATTCACCACTTCACGGGTTTATTTGGAACCAACACAGTGACCAGTTCCCAGTTGGCTTGTTAGCTCAGTTGTTAGAGCACTGCACAATTATCACAGAGGTCATGGGTTCAAATCCCAAACAGGCCTGAATTTTTTTCAGGCCTTCTTTTCACTACTGCTTAAGTAGTGTTCATTACTGCAAAGAGCGCTATCATATTCACGTGATGAACTTTTATCACCAAAAGTTATCACTTTTGATGAAAAAAAAGAAGGAAAAGGATAATTTGCTTAATATCGCACGACACTGATTCCACTGACCACATCAACTGTCTTTAAAACCATCATACAAGCCACTCCAAGATCACAAACAACACAAATCAAAGGTTGTAGACATCTTGTGATTTCTTTCCATAATTACATTGGAATTACTATAGGCTGAGGAAATTTCTCAGTTACAGGTAGAATTGATTGTTTCCTTTACTCCTGGGGCACTAGGCTTCAATAATTTCAAGACACCACTTTGGAAACTGAAGTTGTATAATTTGGAGACCATTAAGCTCCCTCTCAGTTTAACTTTGGTTTCAAACCTGTCTGTGTCATTCCTAAATGTACAGTCAATGAGATTATATATATATATATATATATATATATATATATATATATATATATATATATATATATATATATAATAAAATATATAAATATAAATGAATGTGGGAGTAGAGTCTACCTTGGCATGAAATGCTCAATGCTGTGGTAGCAGAGCTAAGTCTACATAAGTTAAAGAATTAAAGAGGATGCATTGATTCTCTGTGACTCTGAGTTTTGCACCTAAGCACTCATCAGACAGAACTTTTCTGAAAAGTTCTGTCTGACTAGTGCTTAAGCACAAAACTCAGAGTCACAGAGAATTGATGTGTCTTCTTTAATTCTTTAACTTATGTATAAAGCTTAACCAAATTGTTTAAGTAGCTGGTATATCAAAAAGTGTACCAAATATGATCAAATTCTGATTTTGTGCCTAACACTGCTTATACTGTGTTTCCACAGCCAATAGGAGTATGTTGGAAAGTGTTTCTGTCAATAATTACCTGAAAAAGAGCAATTCCTAGGGCAACACCTCCAATGATTAACAACTTGTCCTCAAAGAAGTTAACTGCAGCATCATAGCATCCCTGTTGGTATTTAAGAGAATGATATTCCTTTGTAATATATTCAGGTTTGATTTAATATTTTCATGTCTCAGCAGAAATAAGAGAACACCTGCATGTTCCATACCACAATTACTTAAATATCATTAATAATAACTCAGCCATTAATTTTCACACAATTCTATTGGATACTTTAAATGATGTGGTGCAAAATCCTCAGGGAGTTATCATTCAATAACCCGTGTCTACTTCTTTAGTATTTGTTGTCCAATTGTTTCTGTCAGAAAAAAGTTTGTGGCTCAAGTTTCACTTTTTTGTCTCAATTTCTTTTAATACATAAAGGAAAACAAGCTAATTTTGAAGAGTCTAGTGATAATGTTGATCTCACATGCTGTTCCAGAAAGAACATAAAAAGTCTACACAATTTACTGTCAATGTGCAATATTAAAATTAATGAAAGGGTTACGAAATACATAAACCTCCTGACTTGCAGGGATGTCAGCTGATAATGTCCTTGGTTGAGAGATTGTCCTCAACATTTTACATTTGCCCTGAAAGTATTGCTTCTTAGCCAAATATTCATTTTTCACACAATCTCTCAGCTGCAGACATTATCAGCTGACATACCAGCTGCCTTTAGGGGTTTCATAACTAATTATTAAATTTCAAACTTCAAATACTGCATGTCTAGTTTTCTGATTGGTTCACTCAGCTCCAGTTATCAGCTCATACACTGAATCACCTTATCTAGAAACAATTTACCCAAGTGTTGCTAAGCTAGAATTACATTTGGATGAAAACAAACACCTCTGTCAAACATTGTGGATAATTTAATTTGATGAAACAGCCATTCCATTTGCACTCATTGGATATGAGATTGGTTAAAGCCAACTCATATCTAGCATCCACTCATGAAATAATTGCTAAATATCCTTCAAAAGCCTGCAGGCGTGATTGCTTGACTGGCATTGACAAAACTTTAAGTGGATCGCAGATCAGATCATATATCAAATGACTATGATAACTAACTTGTCTTATGATAGGTTGATGTCAATGCTCTCATTTGTTACAGATACAAATGACTTAACCTTTTTGCTCCCAAGTTCTCATCAGTAATTCTTCTTACTGTCTACTATAAAACTCTTGAATTTGGTATTGCATGAACGAATAATCTCTTAATTGATAATTTTTCTTTTCTTCTCATCTCTTGTCTGCTTGACATTGTATTGATATTGTAAAAAGAGATTCTCCTTAACTCAAATTTTGTGCAACATGCATTCCAGACATTGATGCATCAAGTTATATTCCTTTGTCAGAACTGAAGTAACAGTACTTAAAAGCATTAAATGCCCACTTCACCCAAAATAACCCCTTGATTCAAACAGTGATTTAAGCTATGAATATGTTGTATTTCAACTAGGTTTTAGTAACATCTTGGAAGAAGAAAATGCACTAACCTGAGCTAGTAATTTAATTAACCTGAGCTGAGAACTTTTTAGTCTATAAACTAAAATCCATGCCACAAATAAGGTTTGATTGCTTTGGTTACTCTAACTCATGGTATCAATTCTACATTTTATGTCACAAACCATCACATTCCTATTCTGTTCTAATGATTTAATTCTAACTCAAGTATCAAGGACAATAAGGAAGATTTAAAGTTATTACATGATTTGTGGTGATTTTCTGAGCTTACCCTATGACATATGTTGAGATAGCTCCAAGGAGCCTTTGATTTGGTACTCTTCTCCAAATAACCCTTTAATCCCCAAGAATGACCAGCATCTCATTTCCCCCTACAATATTACTGAAGAAATGTAAAATGGTTTCCATGTTTACATAGCCTGATGTAAACACACGGGAGGTTGGGAGAACACAAGATAAGCGTAGGAAACCATGATGCGAAGCGGAGTGGTTTCCAGCTTATCAAGTGTTCTCCCAACCTCCCAAGTGTTTACATCAGGCTATGTAAACATGGAAACCATTTTACATTTCTTTTATAAAATAACTAATGAAAGAGGAACGAAAACCACGTTTACATATGCTCATGTAAAATGGTTTTATGGCCAATCAGAGCGCGCATACTATTTGAATTATTTTATAATTCGGAATCAAACATTAAGGTCATGAAGATAAAGGAAATAATCTCCAACTCAATTCAATACCATTTGAAATGTCTCAAGGACAGTGTGGAGAATATGCTTACTTGAGGCTTAAAGGGTTAAAAAAAGAACTTTGTCAACCATTAATGAGAAATGTTAGCACAAATTTAGCACTAATTACCTCTGTTGAATAGACTGTGGCTGGGTGGTTTGTAACATTAATGTTACAGCTAACTTCATCTTTGATACAGCAAGAATGGGGCACTGAATTGTTGTATGTTTCATCTGTAGTCCATTCTTTGTAGAACCAGTCTGAATAATTTTTATTACCACAACATTCAAGCTGAAAGAAAACATAGCAGTTTGAGACTTTCAGACAGACTTTTTATTTGTCACAGAGCACACAAGACTTTGTACTTGATTTATTTTAATTCCCTCCTTTAAAGAGAAGTATGTTTCAGATGCAACATATGTTAGATTATAATGGATAAAATTAACATATACACATGAAAGACTGTCTGCCTTCTGAGATTTTTAAGAGTAACATAGCCTTTCAAATATTGTCTGGCTAAAAAAATCTGACAACCATGTCTCCATTTTCAATAGACTATTGCTCAGCAATCTGGTCAGTAACCTTTGACTTCACAGTCTCACACTCTTTTTTTTTCAGTACTTGGCAAGCTAAACAAACAAGGCATTCTGGACTGATATAATGACTTATTGAGATGAGCAGAGAAGCAACTGATTGTGAATCAATTATGGGTTGTTATGCATCTATGTTGCCAGGTTACTAAAAAATAACTGTACATAGTTTTAAAATGACAGTGTTCATCATTAGATGCTTAATGCATTTGGATTCAATATTTGAGGGGCTAAGTTAATTTTTGAAATCCTAAGACTCAACAAAAAGGGAAGCCATTACAACTTCATGTTGATTTTAGAGTGTCATTCAGGAATGGGTTTTACCCCTGGATTTTGTGCATAGAGGGATAAATCACAATTGAAATTTACAAAAGTCCAATCTAACAAAATAAATAGCTTTGAGTCTGACAGCTCTTGATACATTTTTACAACTCTGTATTTAATAAGAAGCCTTTGAAAGCAATTGATGGAGGAAGTTTTTGTGGGACAGGTGCACTCTTGAGCCATTTTTGCTAATGAACTCCAAACTTCTGTTGTTTACGTATTGTCTATTGTGTTTCATTTCTCCTTATTATTCAAAACCCCTTGACCTATAGTGCAATTTGGATCCATGTTTAAAGTTTTTGGTGTGCAATCCTGTTACATCTCTGACAAAGAAATAGTAGAACTTTTGGGCAATAAAATATAAGAAAGCTACATGCAACATGCAATCAACAATTGCGATCGATGGAGATTTATCTCTTCTATGACTCGCTTGTTGTTATCGCAGGAAAACCAATCACATTTTAGTCTCCCATTGGTTACCATGACACTGGTGTTGATAGTGTTAAGTGTAACTGGGCACGACAAGTTAAGACTTTAAGCAGGATTTGAAAGCATTAATCACTAGTTTCTAGTTAAAAGAGAAAAGAGAAAACCTTCAGTAAATAAACTTAAATCATTTGTAGAGAGAAAAAAATGGAAGAATTTTGTTTTGGAATGCTTGTCTAAAAGAATATGATGCAGAGAGTGCGTGAAAGAAATGGACAAGATTTTTAACCAAGTTCACAGCAAATGCAAACGGCAATTTCACCTACTTTTCTTCCTATCCAATAGACCCAACTGAGAAATACACAAATATCTTCTAATTACAACAAACACAGATATTTTTATATTACCGCTCTTAAAGCTGAAAGGCAGACGACAAAGTTTAATTCTTGTAATTTGCCGTTTGCATACGTAAGGTGGTTAACTTATACCTTATTTTAGAGGTATAATGCCTTTCAAATTTGCCTCAAATCCTTGCTTTGTGCTTAAGAAATTAAAGGCAAAATGTTCATAATTGAAGGAATTGTTTGCTTTGGACAATAAGCAAAAGAAAATTGTCACACGTTTTTCAAAGGGCATTCCAGTTTCTGCAGCAGTCTTACATTTATGTGTGAAATCCTACAAATACTGTTTAACAGCAGAAATAAAATCTATATAGTTTCTGAAGGATACCACTTTTTAAATGGTCGTCACAAGTAACTTTTTAGGTTATTAGAATATGGATGCAAGATGGTTGATGTGGTTGGGACACCCTGAATGACACATGAACCAGAACAACAAATTGAATGGTTCTTAATGCACAGTTTTTGCTAACCTGTTGATCAGCACCTTAATTTAAAAAAATATATACCATGCATTTTGTATTGGTATAAAAATGTGACAAAGAACACATCAACACTGTAACTTCAATCGACAGGTTTTTGATTGTCCTTACACATATTCTTGCAATTCAGGAGGAAAGGCTATCTTTCAATCTTAATAGATCCTTCATCTTTTTCCTTGCTAAGAATGGAAAATTTTATGTCTGCATCAGAAGAAGAACATTATGGTGAATGATTGGTTGAAAGTATCAAACTTGAAAATGATACATGTGTTGGCTTCCTTGCATATGGTTCAAAAGAAAAATAATTTATTGACAGATGTATACTCAAGAAGCAGCAGTTTGCCATTTTGACAATGATCACAAGTCAAAGTATATTAACTGTTTGAGAGAGATTCATTACTTTTTTTGCTGGTCACTGCATGACATGTTTGAATTAATGGCAACCAGAGTCTATTGCCATCCATTTCTTAGTGGTATTCAATTGTAAAACTCATTGAATAACACAACTTAAAACAACAACAACAACAACAACAACAACAGAAACAACAATTCAAAAATAATTATGTCATTCCCAAATGATTTCCTGAAAATTTTGGCACCTTAGCTGGCAAAAAAATCTAAAAAAAGTTAACCTGTGCCTCATGGTTTCATTTTAGTTTTAAACATTGTTGATGTCACTACCATGATCAATAAAGTTACAAACCATGAAAAATTGCTGTCAATTTGTTAATTATTTGTTGATCAATCACAATCACAGGGTTATTAGAGTACAAAAAGGTCAGTCAGTCATTTGTGTCCTTCTATTGTCTTACAGTTCACTTGTCAATTGCTTAAAACATTGACTGTTAAGACATGACATGTTTGGTAAAGATTTCATGCAAAAATGTTTAGGTTAAAGTGCAGCATAAACATTATGGTAAAATGTTTACTCACTTTTGACTGCAGTCCATCCCAAGCCTTTTTAAATCCATCCTGTTTGTAGTCATCCAATGCAACACTCAATCCCTCACTGAAACCACTCTTAATCTGCAAATATCAAAGACCTCCATGATTATGAACAAGACATTCTGCCATAGGAGGCAGAATATACTCCACTATTTGTTCCTTAGTGCCAAAATAATATGCTGGGTCAATCATTCTCAAAACTAAACCAGCTCCAAAATCTTATGAAAAGAGTTCTTATGGGTAATTGTGAAGAAGAGCTCCCCATAAAACCTGTCGGCCAACTGTCGGTCAACTGTCGGTCAACTGTCGGCCGACAGGTTACCAACAGTCTACCGACAGCTAACCAACAGGTTACCGACAGGTTAAGAAAAAAGAAAAATTGTGTTAAAAACGAACAGTTAACGTGACATAACAATCCGTAATGGTGATGTATGACTGGACAGACTTCACCTACTTACCGATCGATGGCAAAGTTGAAAGTATGTAAAGAAACGTTTCTTCCAAAATGTTGTTATCAGATGCATATAGGATATATCACTTGCGTAATTTACAACACACCAGACAATCTAAGAATCGCATTGGAAGATAATTTAATCGAAAACTCAGCCAAAAACTCTGATAACCATAAGCTACTTATCAATACAAACACTTTCGTTCAAATCGCCCAACAATGCAACGCTGCCTCTTATGGTATGTTATGTATGTATCAATGATGTTTACCTTGTGCATTTGTGTTGCTAACATCGTCCTCTATCTTGCAGGTTTGGAATGAATAGCTATTTCCAATTTCAAGTTTAATAAATGATACAACTGTGAATCTTTTTACTCGTTATGTTAAGTAATAAATTACTATACGCAACAATTCGATGATTAGACTTGGATGCGTGATGCGATAATTGATTTAGGCGCGCGCCGCTAAAATCACGATTCTACGAGTGAAGTATCTTGTATATTTCACCACTCACAAAACGGCTCCTTTAGGAGCCACCAAATCTTGAAAGTCAATTGTCAACGTATTACACATGTTGGATGTTGTATCAAGCGAAAACCAAGAGAAAACTTTAAGGTTTGTGTTAACGTTTCATGGACAAGCTACCGACAAGCTACCGACAGGTTACCGACACATTACCAACAGTCGGCCGACTGTCGGCTGACTGTCAGTCCACTGTCGGCCGACAGGTAGCCTATATTTCGGGCAAAACCTGTCGGCCGTCTGTCGGCCGACAGTTGACCGACAGTCGGCTGACAGGTTTTTTGGGGAGCTCTTCTTCACAATTACCTTCTTATGTTCAGTATTGCATAAATTATTGCCAAGCACATTGAAAATATTACTTTTTCCCTGAAGACATATCCTGTAATAGAACCTCCAAGCTCAACCAGGAAGAGAAACCCAAGAATCACTGCAAACTGAAACACAGAAAGATGACTATCACCATGATACCTTTCATCAATTAAAAGAAATATAGAAAGTTAAACAGAAAGGATCTTTGACAGCCCAACAGTACTCATGAACATTACGTTTTGGTTTACCAAGTTTGTTTTACATAATTATTTAGCAATCTCTTTTACTTCCCATTAGACAAAGTTGTTTCATTCAGCCTCTCACCCACCAGCTATATACTTGAACTTTCACGAATCTTCTTTTAAAGCAAGTACTCATAATTTTCAAGAATTACAGGTCCATTGCACACAACATGCACAAAATCATTGAAATACATGTGGCAAAATTATGAGCAGTGAGCATTATGTAACATATAATGCTACTGAAAAAGACCTTTTTTTAACAACCCCTTCCTTAAAATATTACCTGTCTAAAATTTGAATTCCTAGTAACTCCCCATCTCTATTAAGCCACAACTCCATTTTTCTCTTTAACCTCTAAAGTTCATTATTTATAGAAGTTTTATGGATGTTTTTTTTTTGGGCTGAGTACCATCAAATACTGAATATACTTATGCATTTGAAAGACTGTATTTATTCCTATTTAATAATTTACGTTTTAAACTAAAGAGATACATTCTGTATGTAATGCTACACATTAAATCTGGGGGATCAATAATAAGAAAAATTATCAAATTGATAACTTGCAGTTGGCCCTCTGGAAGATTTGATTAAACTCTTATAACTCCCTGTTAACAGTTCCTCTCTTAAAAGCCCCTGATTTGCAGCTTGGTAAAGTCCATATGATTCTTAAGTGCCTCACAGTATCAAAATAAATTAGGTCAGTCACGATGCTCCTGTCTGTGAGCATGATTCAGGGTGAGTCTAGTGTTAATATTTATCTCAAAAGTCAGAGAGATCTTTCCCCTGATTTAAATTCTAATCTATTCCTTTTCTTGGATAAAAATTGCATTTTCAAGTGATCTACACAAAATAATCACAGGGGAATGTAAAAAGATTAGAAATAAAATATGGGTGATCAAATGTGATCAATGCAATGTAGTCATATTAGTACTTACTGTTTTCAACATGCATACTTGCTCTTTATAGGCTCCACAACAACCAAGGAAACCAATAATTATGACAAGGGCTCCAGCACCAATCAATACATAGCATGCTGTGGAGTAATCATGACTTGACAACTTCATGTAATCACTGAACTGAATGCGAGCCCAAATACCCACAACAAGCAGGCCACCTCCTGTAAGCTGAACAGGTTATGTTCAAAATTAGGAGCTAGTCTTGGTAGAGAAGGAATATTGCACATTAAAACAATGTGAAAGCCACAAAATGATTTTGCTTCTTTGTGGATTAGGCTGGTTAATTTCAACTACTCCATTATCATCTGAGTGGTAAATTTACCTGAATTTCTTTCTTGCATGCAGCTCACACTTGACCCTGAGTCAAAATTTTCATTACAAATGACAACAAGCACAACCTTTGGCCCCCTCATATCAAATTTGTTCATATTTTGGCCTTGGGGAAATATTGACTATTCCAGTGTTTTGTTGCTATTGTAGTGTTTGACTGTTTTTGCATGGTCCTATTTCACGGGTAACAATGTTGAAAGCCCCATCAAGTCCTCAAAAGTCAGGCATATGAAATAGGGTACATCTACATTCAGTTTAGATTTGCTTTCCAGAGTGACCTCACGATTAACAGTTTCGAAGATCAATAGTTTGATTCTGAACGTTGTTGAATTTGAAATAATCATTTCAGTCTCCAGTTACCAACACGTACTAATAGCTCATTTGTACATCAATATTTAGCACTGTTCATGATACATGTTTTTGTAAGGTACATTTTTTTTAAGCAGTCCTTCCAAAAACTATATCTCACATATTTGTGTGCCATATACTGGCCATACTTATATTATATTGCACCAGAACTAACAGTAATACTGAAAACGTCACATGAATCACGACTGTGACACCATGTTTCTCCACCAGACACAATTTCTTCACTATTCTACTTGCTCTGTGCACACATCAAAATACCAGATTCGAATCGAGAAAAAGCCAACCTATCTAGATTTTCTATACGCTCTTAAGTTTATCTCTTAAGTTTTTGGACTTTACAGCCACCTCTCGATTCAAAAGTTTACGCAAGATGTCCGTCTAATTGAATTTTTTTCTTTATTTAAATAACAATGGGTAAAATAAGGCGACTTTCTCAGCATAACTGAGACTAACTGATGCATAATCCTCCTAATCGATGACAGTCTGGTTTGGGTATAAGCTTCACTTGAATGGCGTTTATATGATTTTCTTTATAACTACCCTTTACCTACCCAGAACAGACCATTGAAGACGAACAACATGCATCGAACGCACTGCATGCAAGGCCCAAGTTTTCCCTCTCCCGCCATTTGGTGTTTATCGGCGGTAATATCTATAACAAACACTGATCGTAATACCTTTACGCTTCTAATCTGCCACGGTAGAGCTGAGCATGCTTTCACAGCACCTTCATACCCAGGGTATTCTCGGTTTTCAAAATGGCAGAATGTTGCTGCAAGCAATGTAACCTAGCCGACTACAATAGTGACACGAGTCCCACACAACACATGCACAAAACAACACAGCGGTCAAACACTGTGGATGCACGAGAGGTTGAATTTCCGAACGCGTGCCTAATTTAAAGTAAGTCAAGCAAGGGAGAGAATATTAAATTCCAATGCGTAAGACAAATGAAATAGGATTTTGAAGAAAGATTAAATCTTTATTTTATTTTATTGTGAGATATCTTTACTGCTTTTAACGCGGACGCTTCGTTTCGGTGATAAGGGAAAGTGACAGAACCTTTCTTCTACTCTTGCCGCACAGTCCACTGTCCGTTATAAAAATAGACCTGTGACCGTCACAAATATCTTGTGTGGCTCTGGTTCTTCATTTTTTAACACATTTTCCTCAGCAACTCCACCATGAAAACAACAAAGTATAGCAACAACTCTTTTATCTTAGTTGTGGAGGTGCACTAAGCACCGAAAGAAGTGTGCAAGAAAAAGGAAGGACCAGGGCCTCAGAAGACGTCTGTAATTTGCCTTCGTCACCGAAACGAAGCTAATGAAATTGACAATCAATGCTCCTTCCATCTTGTGACATCTTGAACAATTCATACGTCCTCACTACTCTACCGACCGGAACAACTTTATCAAGTGGTAGATAAACTTAGCAGAGAAACGTCAGCTTGTTATCGGCCAGGAACGAAGTGGTGTACTAATTGCCGTTAAACTAGAGAGAATATTCTCCAAGACACAGTCCCAGAACAATACAAAACATGAGCAAAAAGAGAGGTACATTTGTAGCATTGTAACTCTTACCTTTAGGAATGTAAAAGTAAGATTGCTTGTGGTATGTAACCTTGGTTGCACATGTATTAACACTTACTACAAATATTGCAGCACGAATCTCCTCAGTCTAAAAATATAACCTTCTTCTCCAAAGGCCAAACTTTCCAAGGTAGAAGTGCTTTTTTGTGATAAATAGAGAGAAATTACTGTCATTTGATATTTTCTTCCCATCAAGTTAAATTCTTTTTTTATTCTCTTTTTTCGAAAAGGGAAGCGGCATTTGAAATCATACATTTAGACCCCATCTAGGTGCTGTGCCTTTTGTTTTTAGGTCTCTTATCTTCCTTGTTTCCTAAAATAATTGCAATTTGTAAACTTACCATGTTAAGTCATTATAATTGTCATGTTAAAAATTCCACCTTTTTCTAGATATGCAGTATTTCTACATCTCCAGTAATGAGACTTTGTGATTCAATAAAGGAGGCCATAGGGAATCTGGCTAAGGATTCTGCATCTCTTATAAGGCTTTCAGTTATCCTGACAAGTTTTGAGAGGAACATGCAAATGCTTGTTCAGAGAATGGAGAGTGTATTAGGTTTATGGAGTATCATAGAGACTCACTATGATGGACGACAGAGGTAACTGAGGGTGGATAATGATGTGTGGGACAGGATGTTTGCTGCTCAAAGAACACTGGATAGTTTTCAAGGTAAATGTTGCTGATTTAAGTTCATTACATTGAACACTTCTATTTGATGATCATTTTTAACAAGATTAAGTTGCCTTTACATCGAAGGGAATAGGTGCCCTATAAATTCTCCTCAATAGCGTAATTGAAATCTCCACATATTTTTCTTGCCGGTAAGATAATTTTAAAGACTAATACTACAGCTTCAGTCAGCCCTCTAATAGTATTATAAGGAGGAACAAGTTTCCCCCCTTGTACAGCCCCGTACTCATGAGAAACTTGCCACGCATGCTGATGGATTATTTGACATCCTCTTGAACTCTGTCATGAAAGATGGGACCTCCAAGGAAAGAATGCAATTTGCAAGAGCAAAGAATAGTAGCACTACTTCACATCATTTCCTATTTTCAGTAAAAGTTTCCCTTCGTAAAAAAGGTCGTGGTTATTCATCGTGGTGAATAACAATAAAAGCTAAGTTTTCCGTTTGTCTCACGATGTAGTCACGTGTGATGTAGATTGCGACTTTTCAACTGCATACTGCTAGTCTCCTTCAGGCGATGAGGTCGACTGGTCATGCGTGATATTATAAAGCATGATGTTCTGCTGTGATTGATTGTTTTTCAACAATTCTGATAGGCGCATTTCGATCCTTGCTGTTTCACTCAGTGATTTAAGTTTCCCTTCTTAAACGAGGGGGGTGAATAGGGGTATGCAAATCCGCCGATCCGCTATAATTTGATGACCAAATCCGTCAATCCGTTTAAGAAAAACTGTTAAATCCGAAGCCGTTTGCTACTTGTCGCGTGGAAAGGTGAGAAACGCACCTTGAGCTGTTATGTGTCGGCTAAACAATTTTTAAAAAACGTTCTAACACTTTTTATAAGATCTTTAACTGCTAACTAAAAGATCTACCTTTACATTAGAAATCTGTTGTTAATCCTGACTTGTCGTCCAAAGCGTGCCGTGGCTCCTAACAGGAAAGTAGCCGGTGGTCAAGTTCACTGGGAATGTTTGAATCTCTATCTTCTGGTTCCTCGTCTTCGTCTGTACTCGAATCGTACTCTGGGACCTCCTCCACATTCCCGGGGTCACTCACGCTTGTTTCAACTTCCTCTTCATTCTCGTTTACTTCAGAAGACTCCGAACCTTCAGACAAGGTCAAGTCAACTCTGTCTTCAGATATCTGAGGCTCTCTCTGGTAGATCATTTTCGGCGTCGTTCCATGTCTAACCATGGTTGTTTCCTAACGGTTTGTTCTTTGCCGAACAGCAACTCCAAACGTTAAGGCGTAATTACTCATTTCTTCCACTGCCTTTTCTGAGAGTTTTGCTACTGGGAGCTGTGGAGTAGAGGGAAGTGTACTTAGAGAATTTCATGTTCCGGGTCAGGGTACCAGGAGCTCTTTACACTGGTGTAATACTGTCAAAGACTGGAGCCGTTTATTACTCTCTGTTATTATATTTCCAAGGTCTCTGCAGTATTCCTTTTTCGATAGCAGCGGATATTTGATGTGGCTGATAGAGTGCAGGTGTTCAACGTCAAGGGTCATACAGCTCAGGAGATTAGTGGCATCAAAGAGAGAGAGAAAACTAGTGACCTCATTCTGTCCAATTCTCAGTGTGGTATATCGACCGACCTCACAGTTACGGCAGAAACCGTGCCTTGGGGTCCATTCAGTGTAATCTTGGAGTATCCCGGTACAGAGCGAACTGACTTTTCATACTCAGCGAGTATTTATTTGCATTCCTTGACCTTTTCTGTAGCCTTCTGTAAAGTTCTTGGTGGAGGAGAAAGCATCGAAAAGCTTGCCAATCTCGCTGTTTCGGAAAGAGGCGTGATTATTTTCAATGAGTTTGATTGAGCGTCGCAAATATATACGACAGAGTCAAATTCAACACAAATACCAATTGATTGCTTGAACTGGCATCCCAAGACAAGACCATCTTGAGTTCCTTAACTTTGATTTCAGCAAATTTCTGAACTCTTCTCATCAATTTTGAAAAGACTTGCTTCTTCTTGATCTGTCAAAAGGATTCCTCTCTGAAATGGCGCAACGGTGCATCGTACGTTTTGTGATTTGCAAAAGACTTGGCTTTTACAGGAGGCGTGTTCTATGGAGTTATGCCTTGATTGTGTGAAACAAACAACTTCTTGTTGTTCGCACAAAGGCCGACAACAGAATTCCAATTGTCCCCATAGCCAATGATGCGTTGAACATTTATCGCACATAAACCTATATCCGTCATATTTGAGCTGTGCATTATGTGTTCTCTTGGAATGTGAGTCTGCTAGGAACACAAGCTCTCAGTCAACTAACCCTGTTACAGCAGTAGCAGCGGAGGAGTGAAGAGGTGAGGGAGGTTAGATCGGGTCGGGTAAACCAAACCTCCCTAGTGTTTTCACTCCTCTGTTACTAAAGCGCTGTTTAGTATCGCACTTCAGTTAACTAACTGCTTGTCTGGAATTGGCTTATATAGCCAGTAGAGCTCCATGTTAACGGGCGTGTAAATTTTAGACTATTTTCACCAAAATGACAATTTTATCAAATGAGACCACTCTAAGTGGTTGGATCATTTTATATAGTAAGATCATTTAAAGCAATTGGTCATCTTGGTGATTTGCCGGGGGAAGCTTCGAATTGATCAACGTACTCAGTTGCACACCCGTCGGTTTACCAGGTAATTGTGCTCTAGCCGAAAACTCTTAAAGTTACAAGACAGAAAAGACCAGGAAATATTTGAGACCAAATCTTTATTCATAGAAGCTCAGAAGCGAAAAATGAACGAATTTCTTGCATACACGAGACCGTGCATTGAATCGTTGTTTCCTAGAATTTACAACCACAAAATTGCGTAGGTTTGGGTTGAAGATTTTGAAAATTCTGAAATTTTACGGTTTTAAAATTGATATTTTGTTGAACATTACTTTCAGGACATATCAACACTTGAAAACAGTATCCACTGTTCGAACAACGAAGCGAAAACTTAACAAATTTCTTGATTCAAGAGACCCGTGTGATAGATTTAGCATGCTTTAATTTTTGTTTCCTATAATTTACGACTACGAAATTGTGTTGAAAATTCTAGAAATTGTATTATTTAAAATCAAATCTTTCCTTGAAGAACACTGTTGGGAAATATCAACACTTCGTAATGATATTTATCGTTCGCAAGAAGAGTGCGCAAGGTCGCAAAGCCTTGCCTAAAGTCAGAAAGCTCAGTTTTGTTTGCAGCTATAATTTGCACCGCCTTTGGGAATGAAGTATTAACTCCAAAACTAATTTCGTCGCTTTTTCGCTTCTTATTTTCTGAAACAAGTATTATTTAGCATATTTATTTTAATTTTCCAGCTCAAAGAGGTCTATCTTGACCAGGATGGAACGGAAATA